TTTCCCCGCTAGGAAACCAAATTGATAATTTCCGATTGTGATGCACGACGTTAATCTTTGCTCAATGATTTTCTCGACAATTTTCAGGGAGTGTTCTAACAGACGTATACCCCGATATGATGAACAGTTCAATGGATCACATTTGCCTTTGTATAGAGGGACTGTCATGCTATAGTTCCATTCAGTACCAGATGCTTTGATAATGTCATTTGTGAATCCAGAGGGCCCTGCTGCCTTTCCATCTTTTATAGCTTTCAGAGCTTCTTTAAGCTCGTCTACATTGATGTCTGGAATCGGACCTTTGATGGGTAGAGTGTCAAAGTTCACATTGTTAAGATTTGTTTCATTTAACCCTTAAACACCGAAGAAAAAAAAAACGTTGAAGTCGTTATGGGTCGAATCGACCCACAGTACATAAAAATCGTTTTTTGCCACAAAAAATTAATAAAAATATTCTTAATTACAAACAAATTAAATTTAGCAATAACTTTAAACAAAAAGTTATTAAAAATTAAAAGAATTACTTTTAAAACGTTAAAGATTTAAATACATAAATTTTCTTTTTGCGCCTGGATATGTTAAAACTTGTTTATATCAATCATACATTTTTCTTTCTGTATCAAATTAAAAATATATGTGATTATGTCTCGTCGCGTTTTTGCTCAAGAAGCTTTAGATATTATCCTTGATGATGATGAAAAAAGTGGAATTGAAAGTCTGGGAAGCCTCTCTGATGCAGAATATAAAAACAATGAAAATGTAGATTCAATGTCCAGTTTGTCATCAACATCAATCAGGTCTGTTGAATATGACTTAGAAGAGAAATTTCATGCTGGAAAATTTGCAGATGAGGAAAAAAATGGAAATAACAGAAATGATGATGACATCCTGGCTTGTAATTTTTGTGAGGATGATTTTAATAGTGGTTCATGTTTGCTGATATGGAAAGGCATATATATGAATGTATTGATTCGGTAATTGAAAGTATTTGTGGAGCATATGTAAGTGCAGACGGCACTGTGTGGAATTCTAAGCCTTATTTGACTGGGAGAAGACAGTCTGTGAATGTAATGAGAGCAGCTGGAGGACTGAGTGCTTACGGACGTCGTCATTGCACCAATACTGCTCTCTCTATTTGGCAGATTTTCATGGACAATTCTCTGATCGATATAATTGTTGGTTGCACTAACGACAAAGCTGCTAGTTTGGGTGCCAATTTTGTTACGAACAGAGAGGAAATCAACACTTTCATAGGTGTAAATATTTTAGTTGGAATATATAAAGGGAAAGGAGAACCCGTGCGTGCACTTTGGTCAAAGTCAGAAGGCCGACAATGCATCAGAAAATTTATGTCAAGGACTAGATTTGAAGAAATGACAAAATTTATTAGATTTGATTTTACTAGCAGCCGAAGTGCTCGACGAAAACTATCAAAGTTTGCACCGATATGTGTGGTGTTTGACATATGGCAAGAGAATCTTGGAAAACCATTTATTCCATATGAGTATGTAACCGTAGATGAAACACTTTTACCATTCAGAGGCCGCTGCAGTTTCAAACAATATATGCCTTCCAAACCTGCAAAATATGGCTTGAAGTTTTGGTGTTTATGTGATGCCAAAACCGGCTACTGCTTGAAAATGAAACCGTATTTAGGCACAGATAATGGAGCAGCGCGGGCAAAAAATTTAGGAAAGTAAGTAGTGTTAGATTTGACGGAGAACTTAGACATTGGCAAAACCGTTGTTATGGACAATTTTTTTACATCTTTGGAAGTACTACGTGAGATGCAAAATTGTAATTTAGGAGTCATTGAACCATTCGTAAAAAATCGGAGAGAACTGCCACCAGAATTTGTAAAGAAAAAAAGCGAAGGTGGCACCTCTTTATTTGGTTTTTTACCTGAAGCAACCCTAGTTTCTTATGCACCAAAAAAAAAACAAAAGAGTAGTTTTACTGTCAAGTGAGCACAGTAACGAAGAAATACATGACCAAAGTAAAAAACCAGAAATAATATTAGTTTACAACAAAGGTAAAGGAGGAGTTGATCATTTGAACTCGAAAGCGAACCTTTCGTTGGCCAAAATGTGTTTTTCAACACATGGTGGACGTCACTGCATATAATTCATTCATCCTTTGGCAAGAAGTTACTGGACATAAAAACAGAAGGCAATTTTTAAAAAGTTTGGGAGCAGAATTATGCGGTGGGGAAATTGATGACGATGGAAATATAAAGTTGATCCAATCTCAGTTAGCACCTGAATGTCAATCATCTGCTAAATCTGGAAAACGGTTGAGATGTAGAAAACGCGTTTCAAACAAAACGGTCCAACGTTGCAACAAATGTTTGAATCCATTATGCATCAACTGTGTCAATTACCAATGTCATGACTGTTAATTTTATATAAATTTGATACTTGAATATAACAAAATGTTCATTTTATGTAAATTTGGTGTTTAAAATCAATAAAATGTTCAATATTATAATATCGTTTCAATTTTATTCACATGGGTCATTTCGACCCATGCGGTCGCGAACGTAAACACACATTTTTTGGAAGACTGTTTTTATATACAAGATATCTGATTATTTAAAATCAAGCTAAATTTATGAAAAGCTTATAAAAAATTAGACAAAGTCAAAAAATTTTAAATTGTTAGATTAAAAAATAAGCGAAATATAATTTTTTAAAAAGTGTGCATGGGTCGAAAAGACCCATGTTGGTGTTTAAGGGTTAACAGATGGTTGAAATATTCTTTCCACTGTAGCTTGATCTTATCTTGTTCAAGAACCCTCTTATATATATATATATATATATATATATATATACAAAACATGAAATTTCTCCATGGCTCCAATGGTTAGACGTAGTTATCTTCATTGTTAACGCACACGGACACGTGTTGAGTTGCATAGATAACTGGCATTTTGATCTTTTAAATTTGGTCATCTATATGTTGTTTTTCTCATTTTTCCATTCCCGCCCATCATTCTCAATTCCCGGACAGTGATTCCCCATTAAATTCCCCATTTCCGAAAATTAGGTTTTACCAACTCTCATGGGAACCATGAGATTCCCGTTTCCATTCTAACTAATTTTGAGAACAATCTTTCTTGACAACCGTTACAAGTAATGCTAACAAAATCCGCATTTATACGTCTATGTCATTATTTTAAAATTGTTTATAAAATTTTAGATGGTCACCTTTTATTGTACTAAGGTTTACCCTGCTGGTGCAAGTAAAACTTATGGTTATAAAGGCTGTGCGTAAATTCGCGTTACTTTTGAGCACTGCATGATAATTTTTACTGAAAGCGCTAATAACTTCTAAGCCAATTGACTCAACCTATGTCAAAATTTTATATTTTTGTTCAGTTCTTTTCTTTGGTTTTCAGTTTTAACATTAATAATTTCTTAGCCAAAGAACCACCGTGTTCATCAGTAGTTTATTATATTCCAGAAAATGATTTAATAAATGCTTTACAAAAAAGACATCTAAATCGTAAGCATTTTAAAATTTTGTATAACATCTAAATACCAATTCGTTTCATTAAATTACTTCATAATGTTTACATTTTTTAATTAGTGCATTTTATCGTTATTTCAACATAATTTGTTTACTAAATTCTTTATATGATTTGTATTATTTAAATTTTATTTTAAATAAACTGTTATGTAGATCAGTTTAAAAGTAAATCGAAGTATAAGAGTATACCTGTTTTGCTTCACTGTATTAAAAAATTATGCTAAAATTATTTCCAAAGGTGTCATAGTAAAATAGTTTAAAGGCTTCCAGTTGTTTAATGTAACAAAAATTACAAATTTTTTTTATTTTCTATTAGGGATGCACCGGATTTAGGTTTTTCAAATCCGGCCGGGGCCGGGGCCGGATTTTAGTTACTATTTTACATACGTTAGAAAAAATACTCACATTTACGGTTATCTACATGTTGAACACCAAAAGATGAGTAATCAAAGAAGACGTTGAGAAACTTTTGGGGTTATCAGGCTTACCCCGCGACAATACTGCATTGCATTCCTTACAAACTGCCTTGGATTTATCGTTTGTTTTAACGTCAAAAAACGCCCATACTCCGGATTTTTTTTCAGCCATTTTTATAAAATTCACCAATAATAAAAAATGCTTAATAAATATATTGTTCTTAAATTATGCGCTTTATAGCTGCATCATCGTCATATACTATTATATATAAGTGCACAATTTCTTGTAAACAAAGATCAGCTTATAATTTATGCATAACCCATGTTATAGCACAAAGAAAATTGTCCAGCTCAGCTCACAATTAATGATGCTGTTATTATGTGCCATGCATGCACGTGCACAAGTTCTTTTACACAAAGATCAACTTATAATGTATGCATAACCCAAGTTAAAGCACAAAGAAAATTGTCCAGCTCAGCTCACAATAAGTGATGTTGTTATTATGTGCCATGTAAGCCATGTAAGCCTAGCCTAACCTTTAACATAACATGTTCTTAAATTATATATATTATATAGCTATATATATTATATAGCTATACACAATTATGTAGTATATATCACGTGCACAAGTTCTTTTGCACAAAGATCAGCTTATAATTTATGCATAACCCATGTTATAGCACAAAGAAAATTATCCAGCTCACTTCACAATTAGTGATGTTGTTATTATGTGTCATGTATGCTTAGCCTTTAACTTATTGACATAAAATTAATCGAATTCAATAAAATTTTTTTTTTCAATTTATAAAATTTTTAAATGTTGATAGACGCTTAAATCCGACCCTAAATCCGGATTTGAAAAAAAGGCCGGATTTTGACCGGGGCCGAACTTCGGTGCATCCCTATTTTCTATATATATTTTTATAACCGTGGAAAGGATCAAATTGCGCTAGGTTGTCGTAATTTTGGTATCTTTGCTATACTTGCAATCTTTTGATTGTAAAATCGGCCTATATATACACCCTGCGTAGTCATGTTGGCATTGAGGTTTCCAGATGAGAAAGCCAAGTCGTAAATGTGATTTGCACAGTTGGATAAGTTTAGTGTTTCTATTATTGTTGTCATTCAAATAAACGTTCAACAAAGTTTGCGTTTGAAGCAGTTGTGTTCATTTATCGGAAATCTTGAACCTACGGAACATCGAACACTTGACGATTGTTGAAAGCTACAACACAGTTTTGGAAATATAGAGATCTTTGAAGTTATAACATCGGTGTTGGTAGTTACGAGGTCAGCATTGGTATCAGAAGTGGGATTTTTGAAAAGATCGAAATTTTCTGCGATAAAAAATGCCAGCACTAGATGAACTCAATTTATCGATCTACGACAACGAAAGGTGCGAAAGCAGTTTTGATCAACCGCCTAAGAGACGCTTTAATTAAAGAAAATATCGATCCAGATGAGTTTGACTTTCCGGATCCTTTGAAGCCTGTTTGCCTGCCAAAATGAATTGAAAACTAGATCAACGGATAGCCGCTTCAATAGAATTGAGAAGCGTACGAATTACGAGCGGGTAGTGGAATAATACCATCAACCATTGAAAGAATATCACCTAATAAAGAGACAATCAAAACAGGTATACCAGCTATGGCAAGAGCCTGAAATTATCCTACCGGCTTATTCATCTACGGATGATTTTGACTGTGACGCACGTGTTAACTGCAATGCATGTGGTATCTGCGACGCACGTGACAACTACGATGTTCCTGACAGCTACGAAGCACGTGTTACCGTTGAGGAAGGCAGTTATCGTAATGATGAAAATGGTGAAAAAACGAAAATGAAAGTTAAGGATATTGGAAAAGTTGGCAACGACAAAGAAACTTTTGATATGCAGTGGGACTACTACTCAAATTTTTCTGCTAACAGCTCGCTTGTTTTAATCGATAACAACGACAGCATTAACATTAAGAGCTCTCATCAACGGTTCAACTTTTGATGATGATTTAGATGAGACGTTAATCTAGGAGCGTTAATCTCGTATCTAGAGATTAACAATGTCAGTGAAGATGATTGATTCTAATGTCAATGCAAATATTCATTCAGGACAAGAATTGGTGACAGAGGACGATTCAAGTTTTGAGATAACCCTTCCAGCCCGCACGTCTACCTGGATGATGATTTCAAAGAGGTCTTCATTGCTGATGAGAGTGAGATGTGCTTTGCTGCTTCATTGGTCGACAGGAAAGATGTCACCAACGAATCTTACAAAATACATCAAAAATACCCGTCTGGTCATTATACAATTCGTAAACTTAATAGAAAGATAGCACTTGCTTTATGTGCCAACAAAATCAAGAGAGGACCACGACGTCTACCTATGGCTAGAGGAATGGAAACAACTGAAATGCGGTATGACCGGAAAAGAAAAAACGCAGGTATCAAAAGCAAAGACTTGGTCTGGTTGTACAACCTACGACGCAGCAGAAAATGGCAATGCCCGGCGAAACTCCCAAGGAATTGGAAAGATCGGTACAATAGATTCCCGGCAAAACCCTTAAGGAATTGAAAAGGTTGGTACAAAATTACTAACAAGATAAATGACGTGATTTTCAAGACTTATGATCATGGAAGAAAATGGACAAAAAAAAAGATGAAAAGATAAAAGTTGTCCATTCGAATAGATTATCCATATCTACCGAAATAAAGTAACACCTATGTTAAGGACTAACAGGCTAAGGTGGGGGTAATGTTATAACCACAGAAATGATTGAATTGCGCTATATTATTTGTTATCGTAATTATTTGTATCATTGCCATATTTGTAATTGATTGTAAAATCGGCCTATATATACACCATGTGTAGTCAGGTTTACAGTAAGGTTTCGAGCAGAAAAAGCGAAGTCGTAAATGTGATTTATGTAGTTACTTGGGTCAGTTTATTGTTTCTATAATTATTGGTATTCAAATAAACGTTCAACAAAGTTTATGTTTGAAGCAGTTATCTATCGGAAATTTTGAACCTGCAGAATAACAAACACTTGACGATCGTTGGATGCTACAGCACTGGTTTTGGAAATATAGAGATCTTTGAAGTTATAACATCGGTGATTGCTAATAAAGCGTTATAACAATATAAATACAAATCTTTATATCATAATATAAAATTTTAAATTTGTAGCATTTTTAGTTTTTAGCTGTCTAGTTTTATTGCGTGATACTGAGGCGAGTGACAGATGTGGATGACGTCGAGGGGTATTTCGGTTTCATCATAGGTAGCCAAACGGCAATCCCCGATCTCGGGGAAAATGCCGTCTAAACGTGTGTTGTTGTTGTTGTTTGTCTAGTTTTATTCAAAAAATGATTTTAATTAAGTATGCGAAGGTTTTAAATATTGAGATTTGGATTTGTCAAATCAAATGCTAGAGATTCTGTAAAACCGAAATAATAAAGTAAAATTTTTTTTTAATATTTGTTGATTGTTTTCGGTTCTATACCTTTTAGAATGCATCTTATATAGTTAACATCAGCGGCAATTGCTTCTAATTTCTGCGTTGTTAAATTTTACTGCGTTTCAAACTGTTCTTCAACTTAAATTTCTCCAAAGTTAGTTTGAAACAGAAGGTTACCATGTAGGTATTTCGTTAGTTCAGTTCAAATTTGTTGTTAAGTACAATCTACATAATAAGACCTATTGTGAAAATTATGAAAACGCAAAACGCAATTATGAATTCATGTCAGTTTCTTATAATGTAATATTTTTTTGCTTATTGTTATTTAAAACACAAAAATAGTTTTTAAATATTTTTCATCACTGTTAAATAGTGATGCAGTCGCTTAGTAGGATGAAACTTAGTTTGAAATATGCATAACTATGAGTGGATGATAATTCGGGCCCGAATGCCATGAATCTTGATTTTTTTGGGTCCATCCCATTTTAAGTTTTAGTTTAGAATAGATGTAGATAATGTTTAAGGTTTATCTTTTTATTTTTTTCAGCTTTTTTTACACAAGAACTATTGAATATGATCTTTTCCTTTTAAATTTAATTTTTTTTCATAAAAGTCTAAAAAAAGCGTCTCCAAATGACTGGGGTTGACCCCACTTAATGTTTGTGAGACAATCAATCAATCAGTCTTCGTTTAGCGTCCAGAGACCCAGTTCCCCCGAGGTAAAACGTCGTTTTCTCTGCCATCAATTTTTTGCGCCAAATTAGACGATCAGTTGTATCCATTTCATTTAAATTTAGAGCTTTCATGTTGCGCTCGATTGTTTGCGACCAGAACTTCTTTGGACGGCCTTTGGGACGTGTGCCAGGTACTTCAACAACTGCAAAAAAAGTTATGGCACTGTTTCCACTACGTTTGACATGACCAAACCACCGCAGACGGTGTTGCCGGCATTCGTTCTTTATATCATCTAAACTAGCAACGACGCAGGATTTCGGTAGATTTGATGTGGTCCTTCAGACTAATTCGTTGCATCCATCGGAGCATTTTCATGTCGGTTCGTTGAAGTTGTTGTTCCAGTTTGGTTGTCATTGGCCATGTTTCTGCACCATATAACAACACCGGACGTATCACAGATTTATAAAGTCTTGATCGTAATGGTAGTGGGATGTCACGCCGCATCAATGTAGAGGCAAGGAGATGCCATTTATTCCAAGCTGCTCGAATGCGTGCTCGAACGGCAGCTTCAGCTGTTCCAGTACAATCCAGAACATCTCCTAGATATTGAAACGATGTGACTTTCTCTACATTAATGGCTTCAAAAATATCGCCATTTTGAATTTGTTGTTGTGGATTGATGCAAGCAGGACAAACAAAATTGGACACTTTAGATAAAGTACCAATTATTTTTGAACAACGTTTGTGACACCACTGGTTACACTGCTGACACTTGATTATATTGTTACTTACACCAGCTTTACAAACTGAACAGAGCCATCGTCCAGTAGCTGTGGATTGGATGGGTTCACCAGTGTTCATTGCTTGGTTTTGCTGATGTTGACTTTGAATCCATGATCAGCGAGTCTGGTGTTCCAATGTTCAAACATCTGTGCTGCATTCTGCTCAGACGTGGCTGTTAAAACGATATCATCAGCATATATTAGATTCCAAATGTCACCAGTGCGTATTGGCTTTGTGATTTCTTCCATCACAGTTATAAATAACAGTGGACTGAGAATCGAGCTTTGGTGAACTCCAACGCCTATGTCAAATGCATCTGTGTTTCCAACCGTTGTGCCTGCGAGAGTCTTAGTATTCGTATACATTTCCATCACAAGTCGAACAAGATATTCTGGAATGAGTTGTCGACGTAGACTCCACCTGATTGCTTCACGGGAAACTCGATCAAATGCTTTTTCAAGGTCTACAAAAATGTGTGATAGTTGTTGATGCTTTGCGAGGTACTTCTCTTGCAGTTGCCGAAGGATGTGAATTGCATCAATTGTTGATTTCCCCGCTAGGAAACCAAATTGATAATTTCCGATTGTGATGCACGACGTTAATCTTCTCTCAATGATTTTCTCGACAATTTTCAGGGAGTGTTCTAACAGACGTGTACCCTGATATGAACAGTTCAATGGATCACTCTTGCCTTTGTATAGCGGAACTGTCATGCTATAGTTCCATTCACTTGGCATTGAGCAATTTCTCCACACTTCACGGCAAAGTTGTAGTAACGTTTGGATACCTTCAGTGCCAGATGCTTTGATAATGTCATTTTGTTGAAATGACATTATCAGTCCAGAGGACCCGGATGCCTTTCCGTCCTTCATAGCTTCCAGAGCTTCTGTAAGCTCTTCTACAGTGATGTCTGGAATCGGACCTTCGATGGGTGGAGCGTCAAAGTTGACATTGATAGGATTTGTTTTATTTAACAGACGGTTGAAGTATTCTCTCCACTGTAGTTTGATTTCATCTTGTTTAAGAACCATCTCATTTTTGTCGTTTTTATAAATGAGGCACCAGCTATGTCTTGTTTCGTACGCTTTGCTTGTTTTGCTATACGATACAGAGATTTCATTTGTTCACCTTTGCTTTTAGTGAGCCACTCTCCGCACTGATCTGTTCTCAAGTAAACATTTTTTTCCTAGCCTTATGTGCTGTTTGATGACAGAGAAGAAATCAATTTGTGTGGCTGATGGTCCACTTTTGTATGTTATGAGATGTTCCAACCAATTTCTAAAATATGTGTTCAGTAGACAAGACCCGTGACTTTCAGCAAACTCAAAGCGAAGAGGAAGGGAACGAAGGAGAAGGATCGATGACATGAAGGATGGATGGATTTTAAAATAAAAAAGTTGCTGAGAAAGTCACCAGACAGATTAACTACAGAAAATGAAGTTCAAGTTTAAAATTTGATTTACAAAGCTACAGAGTAAGACTTGACCAAAAGCAAAAGTTCAAGGTTGGGACAAAGAAGATCAATAACATAAAGTATTGGAAGGATTTAAAAATGGAAGAGTTGCTAAGAAGGGCCCAGGACATAGTTAACTGGAGAAACCAAGAGCCATCCTACAACATTGAATACTAAAATTCGCATGCTGTATGGTATTGCCGGTAACAATTTGTGACTTGGAAAGTTGGACTTTGAAAAAAAAGATGAAAAAAAATTGAAGCATATGAAATGAAAAGTTTATGAAAAATATTAAGTGTAAGATGTAAAATCGGAAAAACGAATGAATGGGTTGCTACTTGAAGTTAAATAAAAGATATTAAGCCAATAAACTCGATGTGTTTCGTTATCTCAGAAGCTCTCGATATCACAACCCGGGTGACAACAAATATTTACATCGTGAAGACATCGTACGCAATATTTAAGCAAAAATAATTATTAAATAACAAATTTAATAATTATACATAATCACCATTATCGTTAATAAATTATTTCCATTTCAAAGTTATCATAAACAAAACTGGAATAACTAGTGAAAATTTTTATCTATATTCATCACATTTTGAATCGTTAATTCACACTTATCTATTTACGTTAGATAAAGAAAACCAGAAAAGCATGAAAAAATTGCGACACAGAATATTAAAAAACACAGTAAAATATGCTTTAATCGAAATCCTCAATTTTGATAGAGTACAACAGCAACATTTTCATTGACACCACCGCTTCACAAGCTATGCAAGTCAATGCAATAGATCTGTAATTTTTTATCTCTTTTTTATAAATCGCTGCCGCTTGGTTGGTTGGTTGGTTGGTTTGTTGGTTGGTTGGTTGGCTGGCTGGTTGGTTGGTTGGTAAGGTGGCCGGCTGGCTGGTTGTTCTTTGGATGGTCGTTGGTTGGCTGGCTGGTTGACTGAATAACTGGATGACTGCATGAGCCAAAAAGTAAAAAAAAACTGAATGAGCAAAAAAAGATTTGAATAGCTTTATGTGTTGCTTCACATTTATAATTTCTGTCACCAAATATTTTCAATGTTTTTATTTGTTTTATTCTAAAAAAATTTAAGTAGATAGGAATGTCCTATCTTTTTTTACCGTTATAAGCTTTAATCGAATGCAAGAGCAGCATTTGTCAGACATTCAATATGTTTTAAACAGGGAGTCATC